TAAAATGAAACTGAGATCTTTTTAAAGGTTAAAAACCTCGTTCAATTTTAGGTCTTCCAGTGCTTATTCAGAGTTAAATATTGTATAACTGTATTAATTCAACTGTGAACCTAGAAACTTGTGCCCACTTGTGACAGAGATGTACTCTTGCTCTGGAGTGTGTTACTGAATATACAGGATATACAAGTGAAATGCTTCTAATCATGTAGTTATTAAAAATTTTAAAAATGTCTCAAAAAGACCAAAAAAATTTTTTAAATAATGATTAAAAAATAATTCTTCAAAGCATAAAAATTTGCTCCATAATAATTAGTAGATGTGCAAAACATTACCATTGAAATCTACCTGATGACTTTACATTCATGCTCAGGTGCCAAGGATCTTAGAAAGTAAGTGACTGTGACTAGTAATAATCAGATACATAGAGATTAGAGACGCATGTACAAACATCTAAGTGTTATTTGCATTAAAAATGAGCTTTTCTGTATGAAACAGTAGATTCTAAAATGAAATAGAGATCTTTTTTAAAGGTTAAAACCTCATTCAGTTTTAGGTTTTATAGGGTTTATACTGAGTACAATAATGTATAACTGTATTAATTCATGTGTAAACCTAAAAGTTTACAGCCAATTCTGAAAGAGATGCATCTTAGCTCTGGAATCTCTTTAAGCCATGTCAGTGGCCCATTCCACATTTTTTTAAAAGTATTTTCCTCTTTCGCGTGTGCCACCACTCCCGGCACACATTTTTTTTTTTTTTAAAGAAAATAAATCCTGGGGACTTAAGAGACCCACATTTTAAATAAATAGATAGGTTAAAAGACAATCAAACAAGGTGATGAATTATGGGGGGGATAGATTCACAACTCAAGATATACAATGTACATAATTATTAGAAATAATTATATAATTACAGAAAGAGAAAAATGGGAGATTAAGGGTATGAAATTAGCAAAGAAAATTTCTGGGAGTTAAAAAAATATCTTCCACATTGTGCTCACTGCAGTGAATAAAGCAATGAGCATGGGATTTCCATGAAATTCCAGAGCATTTTAGCAATAAAGAAGAGAGTTCATGTAGAGAAAGAAACTGAACAAAACAACAACTGTCCAAATGGATCTGAAGTCCTCAGTAGTAGCACTGGGTGCTGAAAAAGTGGACTGATGCCTTCAGAATTCTCAAGAAGAGTCATTTTTAGCATTGTGATCTGTCTAGTACTGTCAAAGATAAGACAGAAGCATTTTTAGACACTCCAGTTCTCAACATATTTAGCTCTCGTGCGTCCTTTGTTAGAAAGCTACTAAAGAATGCGCTCCATCACCACTAAGAAGTAAAAACAAGAGCCAGGAATGGAATCCAGGGAACAAAGACTCAACACAGAAGTAAAGGGAGTCCCAGTGTGATTTTGCATCAGGCCCAGAGAGCAGGTAGTCCAGATTGGAGCGAGAGGACTAAAGGCTGTGGAGAATACCTCCAGGTGGGGCAAACCTGATGGATTAGCTGCTATAAGATGTGGAAAGATCTTTTTCTAGATGTTTTACAGATTTGTTAAATCACTTGAAAAGAATTGTATGCCGCTAAGCCGAGCAGCAAACACTTTTATCCAGTTTAATAATGTGGACACTAATCACTGATATAACAAAACTAGTTATATGAATTAATGTGGAAGCCCCTTGGAGATCCAGGAGTGGGGAGTTATAAAGGATGTGTGAATAGAAGCTAAATCCTTGTCTAAAACTAACAAATCAAGAACAGCTATAGAAACGGATACTTTAGAAACAAACGTTACAAGGAACAGAAGATACTTCTGTAAGAAGAAAGTAAAAAACAGTCAATGCTTTCACTTTTTTTCCCCATATACAATCATTTAGTATTATTTGTTTGTTTTAGCTGTCTAAAAGACAGATGGCACGGCTGGATTCATTGTGTGTGTGTGTGTGTGTGTCTGTCTGTCTGTCTGTGTGTTAACCCTACCATCATGGTAGCTGACACAACCCCTCAGCATCATTTCTTAGTTCTGGTTGCTGGAAGGATAGAATCTGATGGCCCAATTGTTTCCTCCCTATCAGATAGAAAACATCCATATAAGTCACTTTTAAGGATAATTCTATGTAAATTATTTGTGGTCAACAGGGATTTTAAAGTCTGTACAGTGAGCAAATCCTCCAGCTGGGAAGCTGGACCTGCATGCTGGTGGAACTGTGGTATTCACTGCTACTCTGCTTCAGATCCATTGGATTGGGAGGGTCACACAAATGAGTTGGAACCACTGTGTCAGCAAGGCTGGCATGAGCAGGGGCAGATGCATCCAGCAAGGAGTCCAGCAAGGAGTTAAACATGGGGGGAAAGGCACCGATGCCTGCGTATACCAAGACCAACCACAGCGACGCAAAGCTGACATTTTCATAAGAATGGAACGAGGATGGCTGGGAACAGTTTGCTTTGTCCAAAGTGGGAGTGGAACTTTTTTTCTGTTACTTTGAGATTATATAAAGACTGCTATGGTGTTGGTGTGGAGCAGAGGTGATGTTTTGTTGTTGCTGGGTTTTTCCCTAGGAAATAAGTTATTCTTTGCCCTGCTTCCTCTTACAGCTTAATTGCTTACACGGAACAGTATGTAGAATACGACCCTTTCATAACGCCAGCAGAGCCATCTAATCCTTGGATCAGTGATGACATCACTCTATGGGACATTGAGATGAGGTAAAAAAATGTTTTAAGGTTTGGGAGTGTGAATGATGAAAAAAAAAAAATCCATGAGATCATGCAATTACCTGAGTCCCTACGTCAATTTTATTTAGGATAAACAGAAAGGCTCAAGCAGTCTCCAGACTGAGTGTGCTCGCTCACAGTTCCTTCCTCCTTGCAGCTTTGATTTGTACATGAATTCTTTGTGGCTTCCCTCTGGCCCTTCTCTGACCCTTTGTACATCATGGAAGCTGGCACAGTCCCTCACCATTTCCTAGTTTTGATTACTAGAAGAAAAGACTCTATTGACCCAACTTGTTTTCTTCCTATTGACAGACAATGAAATCTAGCCCTTTTCTATACTGTCCATATCTTCCATCAAATCCCCTTCAACTATGAACATTATTATTGTCACCAAGGAGCAGATAAGGCACAGTGGAGTTAATTAACTTGCCTAAGGACACACAGCTGGAATGTGTGGCTGTCCTCACTCTGGTCTTCTGAAATCACAGGCAGCAGCAATTCTGCCATCCATAGCCCTGCCCTGGGAGGGAGCAGGTGTGTTGACTTAACAGCCAAGGGGCACTTGGAGCACTTTGAGAATTCCAAGCCCTACTGACAGTCCTGGTGACACTCCTTCACCTCAGCCCTCAGTTCGGCCATGGATTTCTTCTTTCATTTCTCTGTCACTGTTGTGTTCTCTTTTTCTTTTTCTTTCTTTCTGGCATCTTTCTCAGAAGTGAGAAAGTCTGGCAAAAAATAATAAAAGTCATAGAGGCTTATTATAAAAAGTTCAAACTATCCGGAAAAGCATAAAGAAGAAAACCCCTCTCTTCCTCCAACCATCTTCCAGGAGGAACACCTGATGTCTTTCTTGGTGCAGCGGGGTGCACAGGGCACTGGGAGGGACTCCCAGGGTGCTGCGTATTGCTGGTGGAAAGTCAGAGACTTCTGACAAGTCAGATATTGTGTGAACTACTGGCTTGGGGTGCCTCAGAGCACAGTCCAGCCTTTGTAATGGACTTTACATACATGAGCTTCCCTGCCACATTGAAATGACCCTCACCGTAAAGGAACAAATTGTTTCCTAAGCCTAAAAAGGAGAAAAAGATACCTCAGAAGAAGCTGATAAAACAAAAACTTATGGCACGGGAATAAATGGGGCATCAAATAAAAGCAGATAAAAGTAAAGAAAGAAAAGAATGAAATGAAGATTTTTCCTTTCAATTTATGCACTTCATACAATTGTAACGTTTCTAGGACATCAAGATATGTTGAGTTGACTGGTCCTGGCTTTAATTAAACAAAAATAGTATTTCTCTTGGCCCAGGGATACTGTAAAACTTGTTGAGTTGTTAAGGATTTCATGAACTGAGAAAATTTGAGAACCTTTGACTTAGTATCTATCTCTTTAAAATTTTATGCATAGAAAATATCCTACTCTTTAGTGTAATTGAGTTCACTATATATATATATATATATCACTATATATGCTATTTTAATTAGCAATACATCATGGTACTGTTTCCGTAATAAACATATACAGATCCACCTTATCCTTTTTAATAGCTGCATAATATCCCCTGACATAAGTGAAGTAAAATTTAACCAGTCCTTGGGTCATAAATATTTAACACATGTCTTTTTATAACATAAACGATTCAAGAAACATCCCTATACCCAAGTTCAATTATTTCTTTAATATAAATTTCCCACCAGTAGAATTACTTGGAATGGAATGCATATTTAAATTTTAGTTCAATTATCAGATTGTTCTTAAGAAAAACTGAAGCCATTTTTTATGCCTTCAGTATAAGTATCCATTTCCCCACATCTTTGCAACCCCAGCATCAGCAATCTAAAAAGAGCTTCATAAATTCCAAAGGTTCAAACAAATTTCCTTCTTGCTTTCTGTTTCTCCATTAATTCTCCATTCGTGTACTGGAACCTTCTCACCTGGTTATCGGAGATTCAGGCTTCCGTGGCTTTCTACTTCTTGTGTCCCCTGTGGTTTTGCTTTGAATATCGGCATGCAAAGTCCCATCTCCTTGGCTTATCTTTTTCCTGACTTTTGTTTTCTGACTCTCACCCTTTCTTTTTTCATTTCTTTTCCTCTTCCCTAAGTTTTTTTTTTTCTTTTTAAAAAATAATTTATTATGACTTTTTAAATTTTGTGTTTATGAGTGTATTGCCTGCATATGCATAAGGGCACTCGTGTCATGCAGTGTTCGAGGAGGTGAGAAGAAGGTGTCAGATCCCCTAGAACTGGAGTTATGAAAGGTTGTGAGACACCACGTGGATGCTGGGAATCTAACCCAGGTCGTCTGCAGGAGCAGCCAGTGCTCTTAACCTCTGAGCCATCTCTCTGGCCCCTGGTTTTGCTTTTCCAATCGATTTTTGCCTTGATTTTTTAAACTCTGGTTTCTGTCCTAGTGATAGTTACTTTAAAATTTTTTTAATTTTTTTAAAATTTATTTAATAACCACATGATTAGAAGAAGCATTCCTTTTCAGCTTTAACATATTCAATAACAATTTCCAGAGCAAAGATACATCTCTTTAAAAAATCGCTATAAAATTTTTAGGTTCTCTGTTAAATTAATACAGTTATACAATATTGAACTCAGTATAAACCCTGTAAGACATAAAATTCAATGAGGTTTTAAACTTTAAAAAAGATCTCCATGTCATTATTAAAATACAGTGTCATACGTTCTACAGAAAGACTCCTTTTTAATGTTACTAACACTTAGATGTTTGCACATGGGTCTCTAATCTGTATGGATCTGATTATTATTAGTCACAGTTGGTTACACTCGGATCCTTGGCACCTGAGTATGGATATAGTCATCAGGTAGATTTCAGTGGTAATGTTTATCACCTCTACTAATTAACATGAAGTAAATTTTTATGCTTCCTCCTCAAATATAACTCATTTTTTTATTTGTTGATTTTTTGTGTGTGTTTTTGCTATAATCTCTACCAAAACAGATGTTTTTTTTTTTTTTTTTCCATGTCCCCAGCAATTTGGAGATACACTCACTTTTATAAACGGAAATCTTGACTTTCAACCCTGGCCATATATTAAAACAACTTGGGAGTTAATAAAAAATACCATTGCCTACCCAAGGTCAATTAATTTAGAATTTTTGGCAATAGGACATTGGAATTTTTTAAATCACCCCCTATAGTCCTCACCTAGAAAGACTGTATCACTGGCTGCTAAAAGTTCCCCCAACAACTGTGCAGTTCTCAAGCCATGGGTGTTTTCAAGACTGGCCTGTACTACAGAGTGAGTTCACAGTTACACAGGCTTTCCTACACACAAACACACACACACACACACACACACACTCACACACACACACCAAAAAGACACAGAGATGCCTGGTGTGGCTCTATGTATTACATTTTCATCACTCAGGCACTACTGCTTGAGAATTCTTAGTAAGTGGGGTGTGGTAGCACATGCCTTTGATCCCAGCATTGGGGAGGCAGAGGCAGGCCGATCTCTGTGAGTTCAAGGCCAGCCTGGTCTACATTGTGAATTCCAGGCCAGCTGGGGCTTGTCTCAAAAACACACACACAAAAAAGAGAATTCTTAGTAAGATTCCAAGTTGCCCCTGGCAGCTTCCCTTAAGCAGTCACCACAGCTGTGAGGCTTCACCTGTATCTTAGTGGGCCAGCACAGGCAAATTGTCAGGGCCACCACTGGGCACTAGATGTATCATCTAAGAACAGACTGAAAGGCCTGGTCTTCTCTCTGAGTGAGACCAGGTCTGTGTGGAGTCCTTGGGAGTCAGAACTCCACCTTCTTCAGCATGATGTCCCCACAGCCAAGCGTCTCTGCTGTCTCAGGCCCAGATGGACTTCCTCATGCCCTCAGCAACATCCTCCTCCCCGCCCCCATGTGCCTCATGATGCTCCCAGACAGATCCTCTTTACTCCCTCCATGATCAGCCCTGGGGGAACTCGGTTAGCGGTACTGAAACCCAGAGGGATGACAAGAAAGCTGGATTCTCTCGCAGTCTCCTTGCATTGCTGAGATGATTTTCTCTTTGTGTGCGCTTACCGCTCCTTGGTCCGTGGCGGCACTATCCTGGTCTTACTGCTTGTATCAGAATCTGGTCAGGCCCTTTACTCAGCAAGCTGTTTCTGTCATGTGGAGCCTGTTCTGTACGTCAGAGTTTCTTTCAGGTGCCCCCGTCTAATGCCCACTCACTGCCTTGCTTCCAGCCCTGCTGCTCAGAGCTCGGAAGCTCTCCTCAGTTCTTTTCTCCTATGGCTCTGCTGTAGTCATAGACTGCTCTCCATCGGCTTTGCCACAAACCTAATTCCTCTGTTTCAGACCTTTCTGAAATGCCTCACCCTTACCATCTGCCGACAGAACGTTTCTTAGGTTCCTTAGCCTATATATACCATGGGCTTTTAAACAAACTAAACAAAAAAACAAAAGCCACGTCACTGAGCTTCAGAGTCTTGCCTGTCACCTCTTCCAGGACCAGTTTCGCTAGTGGTTAGCTTCTCTTCTCACTTAGAGCTTACCAAACATTAGTGTAACAACATGGCTGCCCCATCCCTCCAGTGGTACGTCACAACCTCCCCCTGGTTCACTTCTATAGAGGGTTCACAACTCTTTTTAGCTTCTAGTCTTCTAATCTGGCACATAGTGGGCACTCGAAAGTATAAATTGGGAGGAAGGTGGATGAATAAGTTATTCTTTCTTTGGTCATTTGACTGGTATTTAGAGAACTTAATTCCCCGCAATGAATGCCCTCACTTGGTCGTAAGTAGGTAAGGATGTGCATAATCATTTGGGAAAATGATAACTACCTAGCCACTCAATTTATCTCAAACTATTTAGCATTCTGTCCTCTAAGGAGGTGCTACCTACCCCTGTAAGAGGTGATCCAGTTCTCTCCTTATTGTTCAGGCTTGTACCCTAATCTAATGCCTAACCTAAGAAAAGATGGAGCCACAGAGTCCTTCTTTACCCAAGTGAATGGAATTCTGTAG